GGCATACAGGGTATACAGGGGCATACAGGGTATACATGGGCATACATGGGTATACAGGGTATACATAGGTATACAAGGCATACAGGTATACATAGGTATACAGGGTATACATGGGTATACAGGGTATACATAGGTATACAGGGTATACATGGGTATACAGGGTATACAGGGTATACAGGGTATACATGGGTATACAGGGTATACAGGGTATACAGGGTATACAAGGGTATGTATGGGTATACAGGGTATACATGGGTATACAGTGTATACACGGTATACATGGGTATACAGGGTATACAGGGTATACATAGGTATACAGGGTATACATGGGTATACAGGGTATACATGGGTATACAGGGTATACAGGGTTTACATAGGTATACAGGGTATACGAGGTATACATAGGTATACAGGGTATACATGGGTATACAGGGTATACAGGGTATACAGGGTATACAGAGTATACAGGGTATACAGGGTATACATAGGTATACAGGGTATACAGGGTATACATAGGTATACAGGGTATACATGGGTATACAGGGTATACAGGGTATACAAAGGTATGTATGGGTATACAGGGTATACATGGGTATACAGTGTATACACGGTATACATGGGTATACAGGGTATACATAGGTATACAGGGTATACATGGGTATACAGGGTATACATGGGTATACAGGGTATACAGGGTGCATGGTATACATAGGTATACAGGGTATACAGGGTATACATAGGTATACAGGGTATACATGGATATACAGGGTATACAGGGTATACATCGGTATACAGGGTATACATGGGTATACAGGGTATACAGGTATACATAGGTATACAGGGTATACATGGGTATACAGGGTATACAGGGTATACAGGGAGATAAACAATCTATTACTATTACATGAAGGATATATCTATTTGGCGTAAGCGTAACATGAAAGAATAACCGAGATAGAAACTGTGACTTGAAAACGTGGTTGAAGCAAACAGTGACTGAGATTCGTTTAATTTCTTGTAGTGTTAACAAAAGTTTATTTCAAAAGTTTATTATTCGCATCCTTGGCGACATGTGGTAGCAGAGCGAGGTTCTAAACCGTTTGTACGTGGAACATGAGCGGATGTATTCGTCAGCGTTTAGGTCCGACGAAGAAGCGACTGAAGGATCGAATTAAACAAACTCAAGCCTTCCTCCAACACGATGTTACTCGGGATGAAAGTGAGAACAAAGCCAATCAATTACTCCTCAAGTTGGAAGGAAACCTCAAATCTTATAAAGATTTACTGGAACAGCTACAAGAATCATCCAAGGAAGACGAAGCTAAAAGCCAGCGACTGGAAAATGAAATGGAGGAGTTCAGTATTCTAAAGCTTGATGGAGAGGAGGCTATTTGCGATCTTAAAACGCTTCTGATAAATATTGCTAAACGAAAACAAGAGACAACTGAAAAGGAAGAAAAACAGAGGGAAAGAGTTCATGAAAGAGAACTTCAAATGGAAAAACTTCAACAAGAAAAGGACCTTCACCTTGCAAATCTTAATCAAGAGAAAGAGATTCAAATGGAAAAGATGAAGTTGGAATTGGAAATTTTGAAGCAGAATGAATAGACAAACAGCGTGAACATGAACTAAAGAAATTGGAGGTGGAACTGGAAGCTAAAAGGAAGTTGGCTCAAGCTGAAAAGGAAATGGAGCTTAAAAGAACAACTGCAGATATAAAACATAAGATGAAAGCAGTAATGGAACAAAACCGTCTTGAATTGGAAAAAAAGTTTAGTGTTCCAATTACTCGTCACACTCCCACTATCAGGCTTCCCAAACTGGAACTTCAAAAATTCAATGGAAATATTTTGAAGTGGCAAGAATTTTGGGACTCTTTTGAAGCCTCCATTCACAGGAATCCAAACCTTCAGCCTGTGGACAAATTCAACTATTTAAGAGCCGAATTAGAAGGAGATGCAAGTGTAGTTATCTCTGGACTGGAACTAACTAACACCAACTACGAAGTAGCGGTAAATTTATTCCAAGAGAGATTTGGAAGAGATGAACTCATGATGGATGCTCACTACTCGGCGTTAATGGATCTTCCTGTCTCTTTAATTAACACTGCCAAACTTCGCGAAACTTATGACATGATGGAGAAACATCTTCGTTCTCTTAAAGCTCTTGGAGAAAATGTGGACCAGCCACATTTTGTTTTCCTCATTAAGTCAAAGCTGCCGAAGACAGTGATATCCCGGATGAAAGAGTACAAGGACACAGAGGAGAAGTGGACAGTGGAAAGTATCCGAAAGGCTTTAAAGCGGCATATTTGTGCTCAAGAGGTTGGTGAACGTCAAACACAATTGATTCAGAGCCCCGAAAGTCAAGATACCACAGTGAAGTGTCAAAAACAGAAATCGTTCCCTTCAAGAATGGCTGGGATCACCACCACGGGGGCCTTACTTTCTGGAAATGAGGAGTCTGCTACTGATGGTCAAACAATTGGCTGCTTTTACTGTCACAGAAAGGATCACTGGAGTGACCAGTGTAAAACGTTTCCAACGGTAGAGTCAAGAAAGGCAAAAATCAAAGGAAACTGCTTTATTTGCTTGAAGCCAAATCATCTACTGAAGGAGTGCAAAGTAAACAAGCTATGTTTCCATTGCCATAAAGCTGGAAATCATCACAGGAGTCTTTGTCCTAAAAGGTTTTCTTCTAATGAAGAAAATGAAACTTTGACTATGTTTATTGACCCCCAAATGGCACCGGAAACTGAAAGTTCACTACTGGTTTCCGGCGAACAAGTACTGATGCAGACTGCACTGGCAGATACTGTGAACCTCAAGACTTCAAAGAAACAGTCTACTCGACTCTTGCTAGATTTTGGAAGCCAGAGAACCTACATAAGTGAGGATTTAGTGAATAAACTCCAACTGATGCCCAGCAGTACTGAAATCTTGACTGTCTTCACATTTGGCTCCACAAAGCCCAAGGAATTTAAGACTCCAGTGGTTGAGTTTGGTTTGAAATTAAAGAATGGACAGACAGTGGACATTCAAGCAAATGTTGTTCCAAAGGTCACTGGGATGATTCAAAGGGCTCCTATTAATTCTAAGCAGTTTGAATTCCTTGCAAAGGAGTATCAGCTTGCTGACACTCTCCCAAATGAACTGGAGATGTCAAATGTGGAATTGTTGACTGGAAATGATTACTACAGTGATTTGATTTTGCCAGAGAGGAAAAAGGTGATTCCTGGACTCTACTTGCTTCGATCTCATTTGGGTTGGATCCTCTCTGGTAGACTGCCAACTGAAGAAAAGAAAGCAGCGGAAGTTTCAATGTTCCTTATGACTGGAAATTCCAGTCAGCAATATCAGCAATCCTTTCGTTGCTCCTCTGGAGAACATAAATGACTTTGTGAAACCAAACTTACACGAGTTTTGGAAATTGGAAACTATTGGAATCAAGGAGCCAATCAACGATTGTGATGATGATCTAGCCATTCAAAACTTCCACGACACTGTTAGGAAGACAAATGGGCGATACGAAGTTACTTGGCCATGGAAAGAAGAAAACCCTCAGCTCCCAGACAACTACCAGTTGGCTGTTGGTAGGCTTAACTCTCTCCTGAAACGAATTCAAGGAAATCCAGAATTAATTCAAAGGTATGACAGCATCATCAAAGATCAACTCAAAAAAGAAATCATTGAGGAAGTGAATGATAGAACTGAAGAAGGATGTAAAAAGCACTACGTTCTCCAACATGCTGTCATTCACCCCTGATCGAAAAACAACTAAAGTTAGAATTGTCTATGATGCATCAGCAAAAGCCAAAAAAGGATGCAAGATTCTTAATGAGTGTTTGTACCGTGGTCCTGTCATCTTAGAAGATCTTTGTGGGCTTTTACTACAATTCAGGATTTACAAAGTAGCACTGGCAGCAGATATTGAAAAGGCCTTTCTGCAAGTAGGTCTCCAACCTGCAGATCGAGATGTCACTAGGTTCCTGTGGCCTAAAGATCCTACTAAGCCACTGTCCAAGGACAATCTGTAAATTTATCGCTTTACGAGGGTCCCATTTGGAGTTATCTCAAGTCCTTTTCTGCTTGGTGCCACTATTCTCCATCACTTAGAACAAGTTGGAACTCCTACTGCAGACAAGATTATGAAACACATGTATGTGGACAATCTTTTGACTGGAGTCAATTCAAGTAAAGAACATGAGGAGCCGCATCGAATCCCTTTTCTAATTAAGTTGAGTGACGGTTGCTATGCTCAGTTTCCGGTTAAACTTAGCCTTCGATTTCGTGCGTGTCAGTCGGGATTAACGTCCATTGTCACACGCTGTCATCGACGCTGAGTTAACAGACGAAAAGAAACAGTTTTAAATTTCGCAATTGTCTGTTAATATGGTTAAAAGAGTACTAGGCAGGGTAAATAAAGTCGAGCGCGGTCTTTTCAAATTATTCCGCGGGTCGATAGCCGCGAGGCAAAATCAACGAATGGAATATCTGAGAGTTTTCTCGCCGTGTCTTGATCGAGAAAAGCGTTGGTACGTATTTTATTCAAAATTGACTAATCTCAAGCCTTCAAAGTTTTCGAAGCGAGCCTTATTTGAAAATTTTCCCGAGGAAGTGAGGAAAGTTCGAGCTTCTCTATTGACGACCGAGGATGGCCAACCCTTGTCGTCTTCAGCGTGGTTCACCAGCAAATACAAGGCGAATTCATCTGCAGATCAGCAAGTTTACCTCGTGACTTCTTTTGGTCTTTATGTGGCCTCGGTAAACCATAAGAACACTTTAGAGGTAGGCAAAGAGTTTGATTTTTATCGTGTTCTTCTGAACTCGTTTTGCCTGGACGATGTCCGCGCCAAAACTTCCAAAATGCCCGCCAAAATCGATTTGGCGCGAGCGGGAGTGAATTCAATTACACTACCGCCACCACTGCCGGATTTTCCAAACTTTGCTTTACTGCAAGAGCAAATAGTCCAACAGGACAAACTGATCAACAATTTGCAAATTAACTTGGAAAACTATCGCGAAAAAATTCAAACGCTCCAAGCTCAACTTCGCGACGAGATTGCCAAGCCTGTTTCCTTCAGGACGACTGCACGATCAGATGCCGGTTCAACTTTGAAGGAAATTTCAGAGAACGACGATCTGACAGCAACGGCAAGGAAACGGAAAATGGATAGCAAAGCGAGCTGCGTATTTGAAGAGCTAGAAGAAGTAGCCGAGAGACATCGGGAAAGTTTGGCCTCCATTTTGGCACATCTCGCATGCTGCGAGAGAAAACCAGAAGCAAGGAATCTCCTTCGGCAAATCGTGGATTTAATCGCCGAGGAAAAAGGAGTCAGCAAGGCGGTGAAAGTTATCCTCTCAGACGAAACCTTTTACGCATTCATGCACTCTATGGCAGTGCCAGATTGGGTGTTGCTTTATTTTAAAATAAGTGCTCGTTTGCCTGATGGTGCCTGGCAGATGCTACTGAATCTGACCAAGCTTGGTGATACAAAGGTTAGTTCATTTCGCCTTTTTTTCCTTTTGCCTTAACCCTTTATCGTGCAGCCGTTAAAAGCTTTTCTTAAATTATTATGTTATGATCAATATTATCTTTGTGATAGGTTTGAACCAGGAGTCATTTCATAAGTAGGTTGAGTATGCTTTCGACAACCTGAGCGGAAGTCATCTTTAGACTCTGAAGATGACTTCCGCTCAGGTTGTCGAAACGTTGGTCAGTGTCAACAACAACAGGACTACGTTCACCTGGACGATCATACTCAACCTACTTATGAAATATTATCTTTCTTCCCCTTAACTGATTTTTAATTGATGATAGAGACTTATAATATCATGTCACATGGTCATTTTATTGTCTTAAACATTTTCAAAGCAAGCCTTTCTATTTGAGTCTGATCCTTAAAGTGTTGGGCCATTTCTATTTAACAACTAAGCTTATTAAGTGTACATGTACCAAATTTTTTACAAAGTCATACAAAGTGGCTTTTAAGTAGCAGCAGTGGTGGTAGGAGATCTTCAGCTAGAAATCAAAAGTGTGTCTTTTGTTTTCTAATTGTTATTATAGAAAAATGATGATGCACCTTTACTGCTGTCAAAGAATAAGATTAAGGCTGTCCGGAAGGTGATTTTCCAGGTCATTCGGAAGACATTTGGTGTTCGTAATGCACCAACGCCTTTGATTGACAGCCAAGTGGATCTGGCTTCAGTAGCAACTTGGATCATAAGGGAAGAAAGGTTACACAAACTAGACAAGGAAATTGTTGACTTGAACCTCAAACTTGATGGCAGGCCATTTTGGGGTAATGTATACTAATTAAATGATTTTGTTCATTTATTCTATTGATGATTATATATTGGTTATTATAAATCTAGCCCATCACTTTCGCCAAGGGCTTGCAGCCAGGGATTTTAATTCCCCAAAACCCCAATAACTTTTGTAGGAAACAGACCTGCAACTGACAAAAAAAATTAATCCTTTTGGGATAACAGTAATTATTGGAAAGACATTCTGTAATGTTTTCCTCAAATACTTCAGAATACACTATCATTTCACAATTTTTTTGATAAGATCCCTGTCTATGGACCCATTGTTGCTAAGAAGTTTTTGTACAGTCAAGTAATACAATAAACAATACCAAGCAATTGTACGGTATATTTGAATTACTTCTCATTAATAACACCAATTTTGTTTTAAAAATGTTCTTATTTCAGGAAAAGCCCAACTTATGGCTGGTGTTGTTCCTATAGGTGACCCAAACCTTCCAGAACAAAGTGCCAAATCTGTGTATCCTCTAGCCATTGCCAACTGCACAGAGGATAGGTAAGATTTAAATGAATGAATGACCATGTAGCTATTAGGTAAATATAGTAAGCCATTGTGTTCTCCTTATCAGGCGGTAACCGGTAAAATTTACCACCTGAAGCAACAACTCTTACCGCCTGCAGCCGCTTTGAAGGTTTACTAAAATTGAATGAATAGTTTTAAAAAATATGCAAGTTGTGATCAGATCTAAACAACGAAATTTTTTTCATTATTTTTTGAGGAATAACATCCGACAGCTGATGGCAGACATAAACAAGCAAAAGGCTGCCCTCAAAAAGCATGGCCTTTGGGTCGATGGGAAGCATTATCGATTCAACTTCACAGGTAAGGGATTTAAATTTTATTGACCTATACATTAGTTGGAACAAGTACATGACAGACACTGATATTAAGTCAAAATCTTCACTAAGAAACGCTACTTGAATTTACACTTTTAATACACTGTATACTAGAGTATTTATGGCACATACTCATTGTATAAGTCATGACACAGAGCATTTGAGCATTGTGTTCACATTCCTGGTATGGCCTTTATTTTAATTGTCAAGTACCTGAAAATGACCAAATTACATGTAATAGTACATTATATACGGGATCATGTGTATTTAAAGGAGTGTTAACCTTATGTATCGGCTAATATCCCAGTTAACAGTCAGTCAACATATTGTTGACACCGTTTCCATAAGACACATACCCATTATGTACCTATAAATTATTTGGCCATGAGTTGTTTTGTTTGTCCCAAGAAAAAAAATAAATCAACAGCCCACCACATTACATTTTGTAGGAATGCAGCAGTTAGTGATACCTCTGCATTTGATTTCCATGGAGTGCTACTAAGTCAATACAAATGTATGACTGATGTGTGAAAACACTGTCTGCGGTGACCATGCTCAGTTTTACAGTAAGAGAAATAAAAAAATTATCAGGGGTAATTTAATTAGGAAAGACTGTTCAATTTTTAACTGCCATTATAAATAGCTGCTTGAATTTAAAATTATCTGTCTTTTTTTACACAGTTACTTTGGACTACCATTCTCTTGTCCTTCTCACTGTTAAAAAGGACAATGAGGAATTTGTACTAGGAGGAAAGGGTTACAGCTGTGAATTTTGCTTATACTGCACAGCCATAAGGGTAATTATAGTATATTTTTTGAAGGATCACAACACGTACTTCACGTCACGTTTTACTGTATTTTAAACATGATGTTGCATGCCTGTTGCTCATGTTAATGTTAGGCCCAGTTCAGACAATGAGAATTAAAAATGACAACTTTGTCACCATTTTCCATTCTTCCAGCTCTTTAAATTTTTCTGAAAAGAGTGTATTCTTCCTTATTCATCCTGGCAAAAATGTTTCCCTTAAGGGAGTGACTGCATGATTTAATTCATCCTCTGTGTTGTATGTACATGCAACTTTTGTTAAAGGCCTCAGTGTGGCTGGTATCTTAGAGGAATGTTAATCCTTTCTTTTTATTTTTGACATATTATTATTTATTATAATATTTAACAGAGATGTAGATGCCCTCATTCTGACCCACATGAGACATGTGTAAAATGCTTCCAGGAAAGTAAAGGAAACATTGGAAAGTAAGTAGCATAATAATGCTAATTATTCAGGGCTGTCAATAATGGCCTGGCGATAGGGATTTGGCCAGCCTGTTTTCGTATGTATATAAGAAAAGGAGAACAGAACCCAAAAAACTTTCTATGTTCAATTACCTGCCAAAATTGCATTTAATACCCAGTGACAGCCCTAATGTAAACACTTTTCAATGACATTGTGCATCTTCATGAGATTTAAACATGTGTAGTCAATTGATAATAAAAGTTGTCATGTAAACAAAGGTCAGGTTGTATGAGAAGCCACTGAAGTCTTGTAAAAGAGCGAGAGCTTTTTTATCATATACATTTGTGGATTTGAGTAATGTATTATAGTAGTAAAATTAATATTGTTGTTATTATTTAAGTTTTAAATAGTTTATTACTTTGTTCTAAGTTGGAAGGGAATCCGAGATGACCTTAATTTTCTGTTGGAGGAAGAAATCAGCAGCATCAATCTTTGTGCACTACATTGCGAAATGCGCAACACCGAGCAAGTCATTGGCTCTGTTGGACTCATGTCCTACCAGTGTGGTGCACTGAAGGAGTTAAATGCCAAATTGTCAGCACTTGGTCCAGGAACCTTCAAAGACAATTATGTCAAGATAAAGGAGAGGAAGGGACAAGAGACAGCTATAGACAGAAGCAATGTGAAAGTTAGCTCTATGTCAGGTAAGTGAATGTGTTGTTGATTTGGATGCAATATATTGTAAGGGTGGGTCATAAGTGTTTCTTACTTGCTTGTGCATGTCCAGATGTGTGGTTTTGCTAATAATATCCTGCATGACTTTGGGCCATCCTGTAAATTAATAAATTGCTATAGTGCTTCTAGCCAAATTTCTTGCCTCAACAAAATCAATATGGATAAATTCGAGAGGTCATGTTTCAAATGTGAATTTATAATTTGCTATATTTTGAAATCCAAATTTATAGTAAGGGGAATATATGCTTGAACATAACAGGCTTTTTCCTTGCCTTCAGGTCCAACTGAGAGAAAATTCCTTCACAATATTGAAGACATTGTGAGAGGAGGGCTGCCATTTAACAAAGTTAAGGATCAGTACAGTGATCGCGAAATAGCAGAGAACTTTCTCCTGAACAAACTCTCTTTTTCCGTTGAGGCCCAGAAGGTATATTTGTAAGCTGATTGCATGCTCATTTAACTTATTCAACAAAGTTATCATATTTCGTGATATATTTTGGTAAAGTTTATTTTTCATGCATCCAATTGACTTAATTATTTAGCAATTGTTTCCCTGTTATAGCCGTTTAGCAATGCTCCCAAGAATGATTTACTGTGTTTCACTAGTTACAATAATTTAATAAGCTGCGAAATGTTGCAACTATGCTGTCATAATGATTGATGTACATCTCACTATGCCAATTGAAAAACATTAAGACATGTGAAAACACAGCAATGAATGATATTGCTTGTGAAAGCTTGTGATTCTTTACAGCCATTAAACTAGTGTATGACAATAAATTTATTAAATAAATATAACATAACATTTAGTGATAACTGTGTTAACAATATCTGATTGTCGTTTTTAATTTTTGAATTGCAGTTTTTTTATGACTTGCTCTGTGAAGATTCTTTCGAAAGAGACTATGGAACACACCAAACAAAAGTTCCCTTTAGTAGCACAGGTCAGGGAAATGAATGAAAAGAATTAACTCTCTTTATGAACAATGTGTATAGTTATGGGTCGTTTGATACATTAACCTTTCCAAATAAAAATGTTATAACATACTAAAGTTTTGCAACAATTCTAAGAAGAAAGCTATCATGATTTACTAGCAGTGGTGTACTTTCATATGTACTTAAATCACTCTGCTCTTTGTTTGTGAATTGTATGAATTCCAACTGTCATTGCGCAATCTTACAGAACAGTGGACTGAAAGTTTAAAATAATGTGCTTTTGCAGATGCATTTGGTCAACACATTACTGAGCAAGAGTTATTTTGGCAACAAAAAGAGAGCAATAGATGACATGTTATCTGATTGTGAAGGGGACGAATTGAAGGATGACCAGCTGTTTAGTTTTGCAGCAGAAATACACATCGAGCTTGTGACATTGGTATGTGACAAAACAGCTAGCTTTTTAACATTTGAGTACAAAGTGGAGCCTGAGCTATTCAGGGGACACCATCGAAACCAAGTGGCAAGGCAAGTGTTCCCTTGAATAGAGAGTGTCTCCTAAATGAAAGTTTTTCTGGGTGGAGTTTGTTAATAACCAACAAATAAAATATTTTTCTTTCATTTTTCCTTGGAATCTGCAGCAGTCATTTTTTCAAGCAGCTAGATAATGTATAAATAACCCATGATTAGCTTCTCTCTGCGATGTCACTTCCACAAGTGCAGTACATTTATTTAAGTGGAATTAGTTCATGTTTTGAAACCTGTCACCATTGTGACAAGTGAGCAATTAAACTTATTAACAATTTGTCTAATATGGGTTTCGGGTCCTAGAATATGCCCCCTTTCCTCTAAACAGAGTTGCCCCTTTAATAGAGGTAACAAATACAAAGATTTTTTGAACATTTTTGGAGGTATCCCAAAGGAGAAATTCTACTGTACTCATTAATTCAAATACTGAACGAGGTTCAGGGTACGTTTAAATAATCAAAGTTCAAACGAAACATAAACCTGTGTTCTATAGTGGAGGTTGAATTTGAGATAGTTAACTGAAAATACTCCTTTAAAAATTGAGTATGCTCTTCCACTACAGATGGCCAAGCAATGGAAGGAAATTGCCCTAGTTCTGCGCGAAAGGCAGTTTGATGAAACTGAAGACTTGGAAATTGATATTTTTGATGTCGAGGTAAATAACTTAAATGAATTTTTTTTTACCTATAATTATTGTTGTTGTTGTTGTTTTTCATATATGCACTCTTTCTCCCGTGCCTTCTTTTTCTGCCCCCTTGCGACTCCTCCTTTTCGTTTTGTATCTTTCTTATTACTACCATGTTAGGTCCACTGTTCTAACTTTGACTTGTGACTGTTTTCAGTGCAAGCACTGGGGAATTGTCTTGAGGCACATCTTTGGAGTTTCTCTTGGTACTGGAGATTATGGTCATCTGACCATAGAACATGCCCCTATGCTCATGCGTCGTTTTAGATCGATGACCCGCTACTCAAATCAAGGCTTCGAAGCAGCACACAAGCTTCAAAGACAGTTGTACTCAAGGGCAACAAACCATGACTGTCTCGTTCCAGCATCCTCTTGTGAGTAGCAAGGATACCCTTAAGAAAAGCTAAAATAAAACTAGTTAAAACAGTTAATAATTTGTGCATTTGTCAATGCCATATATCTTGTACTGATATAACATCTAATAACAACAACTTTTTTCTGCGATTCGGATTTTCAATATTTGGCGTGTCTAATTTTCGCGGGAATTTTTGTTCGCGGGACTTTCATAACGCAGTTTTTTTAAAAAAAAAAGACCTGCGAAATTAGTTGCCAAGAGGGTATATTTATATGCAGCAACTTTCTAAGAAAACCAATGGCGTGCTTTTTATACCTTTCTGTTTTCTTTACAGTGGAAGATATCTTGGTTCACAGTTATTCTGAGCGCCTTCTTTCAGTTAGATACTCCTTCCGGCAAGCTAAGGAGAGTATGGTATCAGGTAGGTGAAGTAAGGTCAGTATTATATCTGTAGTCGCGTGCCATGCATGTGGTTTGTCTGGTACTCTCCCATGCATCATTTCGTTTCCAAACATATAAAGCCGTGCGTTTTTTTTGTAGTTAAATGCTCAAGTCTATGAGTTACTTACGGTGAATTTTCTATTGTTTCGGTGCAGTATCAGAATATAGTTGTGTTTCCGTTTTAAACAAAACAGTATACCCTTTTATGTTGCATTAAGCCTTTACCTTTAGTTGTTTTTTGGTATGAGCACATGTTGATTTTGTCATGTTATCAGAATGTAATTTTCTTGTTGATGTGTCAAAACATAGGTAAGCATTTCTATTACCGAGGTTGTGGGTGGAAAAAGAAGCATGTAGAGTGGACAGAAGCTGATAAAGAGTGGATCTACGAAGTCAATGACCTGCTGGACAAGATGCTGGGGCCAGACCATTTTGAGTTCGAGCAAACGCCTGACACAAAATACTGCATTGTTGCCTCTCACTCTCAGCCATCCTATGAGTGCGACCATAAGACGTGGGAAGGTCAGCCTGAGGAACAAGAAGATTCACCTGTCAAACCGAGTTCAACTCCCGAACCACCGAGAAAGATTCCGAAGCCATCGTCTTCACCTCCCGTCAAGCGCGCGTTAAATTTGAAGACAAAGAAAGCGATGCAGAAGTCAGCAGTAGTAAGGAAATTCGTCCAACTGCCAACTCAAACACCTATCCGCGTTCCACGTGTTCCTGGGTGGGGTGGTACGTTCGGCAACGTGACGCTTATCAACACTTGTCCAGTTGACAATTTCCTTACTATTGTTTATACTCGGATGAAAGATGTCCCGCAGACCTCTGCAAAGCTTTCACTGATACGAGAATCATGGGCCGAGGATTTGGTGTCCATAGAGAAGTTGTTCGACCAGAAGGAATTTTCGCAGGGTAAGATAGAGTGGTTGCGTCCTTTCCCGCAGTTCGACTTCAGTGGAGCTAGCGACACTGTCGACGTTTGGGGAAATGAATTTGATCTTTTCTGGCAACGTTGTGCACCGATGCTCAAGACCGCAGCTGAATCAACTTGCTCATCTCAGCAGTGCCCTAAGAGAGAAGAACTTCTGACTGCAACTGGGATCCATCTGACGGAGATTTCCTCCCAAACGTTGTCGGAAACGTATCTCGAGGCAGCTATAAGGGAATGGCAACTTCCGGCTCCCACCCAGTGCGGAAAAGAATTTGCTACACAGCCACCTCCCAACGCCGATGCCATTCTGGGACCGCCGCGCCTCGACATCTCATCTGGGCGCATGTACCAGCCCTTTGTTTGCAATGGAGTACGCAACTTTAACCAGAGAACATTTGTTCCTGAAATGCCATTTGCTGTACCCATTTCATTGCAGCACTTTGCGTCCAATGGCCTAATTACAGAACCCCATCAACTACCAGACACATTGGTTGTACAAAACAAACAGTACCAGCTGGGTGGATGTACATTCTGGAATGGTCAACACTACACTGGTTGTTTCAGGTACCAGTCGCAGTGGTTTCACTATGATGGCCTTCCCGAGAGCCGATACCGAGGTTCAGGCGTTTTGGCTAACCCACTCAACTCGATGAGATCACGTGGTTATGTGCTTTCGTCATGCGTGTACTTCGAATTTTATTCACATAAAGGTTGGGCCTTAGTTGTTAAGTTTCTTTATACAACCCCTATCGTAGCCATGCCTTTTCTTAGTGTGATGTCTTCACACGAAAATCATTTCATTGGTTATACCATTACTTAGTGGAGGTAAAATTGAATGAATCTTACGAGTGACGTATTTCAGAAGTGTTTTCCCCTCCTTCCAAACCAGATTAAGAATGGTCTTTGTTATCAGTTTCTTAGGAAGGGTTCTCAGTAAATTAACTGCAGATCGAACTCATAAATGTGCATAGTTCAGAGTTTTTTGCGCGTGCTTTTATGGGTGTGTCGCCTGGTTAAAAGCGAGCGATGGGGTGAGTCGCCTTCGCTTAGTGCAAGTAAACTTTGTCAACTGTGCACAGTAAGTAAAGCGTATGAGGAAAAACAGTTCTCAAAATCGTTCGGACAAACTGATTTTTGGTGGGCGGGCTCACTACTGTCCCATTTTGTAATAGTCGTGAAATTGTTTAGCTCAGTTCTTTGTTGAAAAATGTTGGTTATCAAACCACGACCAAAGTTTGTCTGCACGTGCTTTTCTGGGTGTGTCGCCTGGAAAAAGCAAGCGATCGGGTGAGTCGCCTTCGCTCTGTGCAAGGAAACTTGGTATGCCTTATGCGAGGTGTGAGTAATATTTCCATTTTGTATTGTATTAATTCCAAATATTCTAACAATTGTTAAGTTCCTTGTGATTAGTGTAGGTGATGCAACTACATTCTGCACGTGCTTTTCTGGGTGTGTCGCCTGGTAAGGGCAAGCGATCGGGTGAGTCGCCTTCGCTTAGTGTATGAATAATTCAGGCATGAAACCTACTTCCTTAGTAACATGCTTTATATCAACTACTCACCGGTGAAGAAGTTTCTATTTCTTATTATTTACTTTTACTAACGTATGTATTTTTTTTTACAGGATGAGGCAGAGGAATTCACTGTCCCGTCTTTAAGGCGGAGATTGTCCGGCCTTTCCAAAATTAGAGTTTTTTTGTGCCTAACTTTCTCTCCACGAACAACACATTTAAAATAAATGCCTTCCCCGGGGGGTTGGGTTGGGTTGGACCTCGGAAGGGAGCCTCCCCGTATAAGACTTATTGAGCAGGTCCCTCTCCCAATTTCCCTCATTACACCGTAGACAACTTTTTAGTACTTCCCCTTTTAAGAATAGGTAAAGGTTAGCCGCGAAACAAACTATCATACCCATCATCAAGTTTATTGAATGGATCATGAAGGTTACAACATATAAGTTAACAGTTTTTTGGAAATGTCCCCGCGGGTGAAAACAGTGCACAGATAAAACCGGATTAATGTTACAAAGTGGTCTTTTGAATGAAAAAGCGTAACTGAAACTTTCCGCGCCCGGAACTTGACAATAGATTTGGCCACCAAATCAACTCCAACTCGCGTGTGGCTCTTCCCTCCTTTTCCTTGCAAACGACTTTGCTAACGGAAGTTGGCTGCTTCTGTAGGCTGTTCAGGAAGCCTGCTACGCCCAATGATCGAGCCATAGCCTTCCGCTCTTCCATGGTGCCACCTCTTCTTACACGTTCGAGCCCAGAAAATGTTTCCTTGGTTTTAAAAAGATTTCCCTCTTGTCCATTCAAAATCCCTGCCATCCACCGCAACTGATACATTTTGTATGATATCTTCATTGTACTGGACCTATACGGAAGTTTTCTGTGGGGTTGGAAAGAAACAGAATGTGGTCCAAATTCTGCGCACTGATCGTACAATTCGTAGAGAAGATGTTCGAATAAATCGCCGGGGCAAAATGCATCTTCTATACGGATCCATTTACCTGGGGGTGGAAATGATGACATAAAGTTTGAGCGGAAATATTTCAATAGACCTATTAAAAGGCAAAGAATTTATGTCACAATTCTTGTACAAAAGCGATTAGAAATTTTCCTTCATATTTTACTCAAGTATTTAAGGATCGCCATAATCATATTTTGTAAGGTCAGCCTGGGGGAGGGGGAGGGGGTACAGTTTATCCCCTGTTGATCATAAAGTAGAGTTGTTGAGTTTTTCCATTTACAGATGCCAAGTAGAGAAGAGGAAAGCAAAATATTGGGGAGGGAATGGATGGTGATGGTTGAAACTGACTGAGACGTGTATATTTAAGCTTGGACGTAACTGAATCCGTGATATAAAAATTTCATGGGAAAAGATCAACCCGTGGGGTGGGTGGGGGGCTTATATATCTTGTATATCGTCGTCTCGTTTACTTAGCGGTAGAAAATGCGGGGTTTTGGTTTCATTTAAGCTCTCCAGGGTGGAAAACCAATGTATTTTACCCATGAAGATATTGCTTAGGGTTGTGTGTAAGGAAATATCCTTATGTAAAGGAATAAATATCCTTTCTGCTGTCTCTTCTTTGTTGTAGTACCTTCTCCCTTCAGGGATCTAAGGCTCTTACTCACAGAGGTAATAATATAGCCCCCTGTAGCTAGTTGTCTGGACTGCGGCATTTAGTTCAAGTTTATTCTACATTACTGACTCTTACGTACAGCCGGCAAGGTCCGGGCCACGCTTCTCTGTCGTTGTTCAATTAGTCTTCGAAAGATTAATATACATTTTAACATCGCCAAACTGGTCTCCTTTAGGGAAATCATTCTTATTCTCCGGGAAGAAAGAAACCTCTATTAACTATAACCAGATGTTATCAATAAAATTCCTTATCCCACGTGTGGGAATTTTGAAACAGTTTAGTTTTAGACTACTGTAAATACGCTATCGATCCCATCAGTCTTTCATTATATGACATGTTTACCTGGCAAAGCGGGATGAAGAGCTTCTCCAATGCGCTCCGTCAAGGAAGCAACCCAAGAATTGTACGCTTCTAGCCTGGATGGGCTAATCTGTTTAGGTTTAGGCAACGAGACTTTCGCTCCCGATCTGTCGAAAAAATCTAGGCCATTTATATCTAGACATAGTTCGTGCTTGGTTAGACTGTGTTTCAAAATTGTCCTTGAAGATTTGAAACAGCGGTGACATGACGAACACTTCACTTCGCAATTAAATCGGTGTGCCATATTTTTGCTCACGTGTTGCGGCAGAAATGAAGTAAATGTAATCTGGTGGCTTGTTAACTCTGGGCGATAGTTGGGAAACACCACGTGCACGTTTGCGAAACATATTAAAACCCGTGACATATGAAATAGTCACAAGAACTCGCAATTAAGATAAAATCCTGAATTAAAGTGCTCTGTTGACTGAAATTAATTCGATCAGTCCTATACAGTTTGTTTTCCATAACATTTTCGTACTTTACAAAACCAGGCCGTGGGGGGTATTGACCAAACAGATATAGGAAGCAAGGGTTTAAGCGCCAGACCTAAGACGTAAGTCAAAATGTATTAGCAAATATGCAATATTTTCTGATCTGAAACGCGCTTGTTGCAGACGAAGAGGCCTCGTGCATTCAAGTTTCGTAATAATCATGTATGAACTGGACAGCATTTGATGCAATAAACGTTTGCGAAACTCATGAAACTAACCACCAATTAAATCCCTCGGCACTTGCAATAAAGATAAATTCGCGTTATAAGGTCTTATAAAGTTCTGCTGTTGCACTTCTTTGGATCAGCTCTTGACTAGTTGAGTTCATTACTCACAAGTTCTCCATTAGTACTTTCTAACCGTGTTAAAAAAATGGATCAGAATAGAAAGCAAGGTATGAAAAGAGAAAGGCACTCTAAAGAGGACAAGAAGCAGTATAGAAAGAGGAGAAAACTGAGGAAGAACTTAAAAGAAAAGGAGATTTCACTGGTGAAAGAAGTGGCCCCCGCTTTGATTGAGCCACAAGCAGTTCAGAGGGTCGCACCTTGTTCTAGAGCCCACACCATTGTCAATATGGCAGTTACCCCCGCCAAACATCGCAGGTCAACATTCCTCACTCCTAATTTGCGATCAGCTTTACTGCCTAGCCGAAAAAGAGCCTACGTTGCCCATCACCAGCCTAAGACAACAGCGCCAGAACTGGACCGTGCATTGCTGTCTCTCGTTAATGCCCAAGAAATTGTGCTCGGAGAAGGAACATACGGCGTAACTCGTCTAATGTACTTCA